TTCATTACAAGCCAATTACTTTGTCATGCAGGAAATCTGTTTAATTGAAGCTCTAAATATAACCAGTATAAGAACTGTGCATCACACATTACACCAATTAAGGCTAGGAAGACGCCTGTGTGTTTTAAGTACAGAAAGATTTCACTGATGGAATAAAGCCAAAATCCATTACGCAAACTGATGCATTATTAAACACAAATAAATGTTTTTTTTCCCCCTCCAGATTCCAGCTGCTGATAAGTTAAGGACTGTGGCACAAAAGATGTACGGTGCGAAAGATATCGAGCTCTCTCCAAAATCAAAGGAAAAGCTTGCACTTTATACAAAACAGGTGAGCTTCCTTTAAACAATAGTTCACACAGAAAACACTGAACACATTTTTCCATTCCAATGCGATACTATTACATTTTTCCCTATGTAAACGTGCTAGGCGGACGTGTATAACCGTTGCACTTTGCCTCTTGCATCTTTTGCAGCATCTCTTTCGCATGACACCGTGTTCTAAAAACGCTGCATTTAAGTTAAAATTCAACTAAAAAAATGTGTCTTGAGACCTTGCATGTTTTCCCCATTTCATTGCCTAGATCTCACATTTTTCAGAGCAAAAAAGTGTGTTTAATTATATATACATGCAATGATTAAGATATTTGCTTCATTATAGAACGAACTGGATTAATGAGAAGTTCTCCATCAAATGCAATACTGACACAAATACTAATACTGTTGGTTAATTAATGTGAGTTGGTTATAATTAGTGGAAGCAGCTGTTGAAAGTTAATGAGAGGTTTATAAACATATGGTATGACATAATGTGAATACTGTTGTGTACCAGATTGTTGAAGAGATAGGTTTGACTGTTGTGGATATGTGTGTGTGTTGTATTTTGTGTGCATAAAAAGATGGGGGGTTCTTGTTATTTTGGAATATTATTGGACTTCTGGGAAATGTCAATGTGTTCTTTAACACATACTCATTCTGCTTCCAGAAGCCCTAAACTTGCACTACAGTATTTAATGCATGTATCCCTGTCTGCCTGAGGAAGTGTGACATTCTCTCTTATTCGACTTCTCTCTTAAAGGGCTTTGGGAATTTGCCTGTTTGCATAGCCAAAATACACCCGTCCTCGAGCAAAGACCCCATGATGAAGGAAGAACCCACCAACTTCATGCTGCCCATAACCGATATCAAGGCCAATGCTGGAGCAGGTTTCCTCTCTTGTCTGACTAACTCGGTGAGCTTTATAGTACTTTAGAGTATCTCTCTGCAGCAATATTATATATATATATATATATATATATATATATATATATATATATATATATATATATGTATGTTATTATATATATATATACTACTGTTCAAAAGGTTGGGGACTAAGAACGGCAAGGTTTTTTTTTTAAGAAATTAATACTTTTATTCAGCAAGGACACATTACATTGCAGTAACAAGTGACAGTTATTACAGACATTACAAGTGACAGTAAAGACAATCTTAAATTATAATGTTACAAAAAATATATATTTTTGAACTTTCTATTCATCAAAGATTCCTGTAAAAATATATCAGTTTTCTAAATAAATTGTAGTAATTACTGTAAGTAAGTTGTACAAATGTTTTTAACATTGATAATAAGAAATAATTCTTGAGCAGCAAATCACCGTATTACAATTATTTCTGAAGGATCATGCGACACTGAAGACTGGAGTAAAAAAATCTTAACAATCACCAACTTTTGAATGGTGATGTTGAATGGTGATTTCCCACACATTGGTGGTGGTGTACATTAAAACACTTAATCAAATGAGCCCAGTCATATTAAACTATCTTCCCATGCCTGAAGAAGGAAAAAAAATACAACAGTAAAGTGATTGTTGTCGTCAACATCTTGATGGAAGATTAAATGATGAGATTACATGAACACTAGGGTGGTTAACCTCTAGTCAGATGATGTAATTGACTCATTACTGTCCCCTTTAGTCAGTCACTCATCGGGTGAGTCTACATTGCAGAAAAGAAAGAGAGAATATTTGGTCACACTTGTTGTGGATATTTTTATCCAGACACGTTGCTAGGCTGCATGCTGTGCTGAACATGAGCTGTTCAACAAAATCCACTGGTGGTCCAAGTGACCTTATCCAACGTTTATGTTCATTGCAGATTACAAATGCAAGTCAATTTGTTGAACTGCTTTTCAGGATAGCAGTCATATCCATATCCATTTTAGGTTAACTTGGCTCAGGATGGTTTTCTTTAGCTTGTCGGGCTGATTTAACTTGAGCTAGCTTTTTTATTTTTATTTTTTTAGTCTCTGGAAAACAAAACATTATGGGGTGTGTTATTAAGATCCTTCATGATAACACCAGATTGACTAATTTCTTCACACTCTCCAACAGACAAAAACAGAAATGGATGATCCAATGTGGCCCTGTTTCCATGGCAACAACCTTTACCATGACAGCAAGTAGCTCAATGGTTACTTGCTAAGGTGGGAAAACAGATATTGGTTTAATTAATGGCCAATCAAACTTTTAATTACTGGAAAGAGACACTTTTCTTTTTAACATTTCTTTTTAAAAATGATTTTTAAAACTAAAACAAATTCACCAAATGGTCAAAATATAGACCATTGTCATGTTTTGCTGTAATTTGCTACAAAACATCCTATGTAAAAAAACAGCTATTTATCAATATTGTTGTCACTATATTATTTGTAAACTGACAAATGGTGTTCCTGTGTGCAGTATTTTAATTCACTCCAGATTTCACAGTTATTACGCTGGGCTCCTTGAACCATAAGATATTTTTAGCCATGACTGAGCTTTAGCAGCACAGAACCAATTGTCTTTTAGTATTTTTCTTAGCACATTTACGCTGCAGTTTGCCATTATTATTGAAAGTCCCATTTGATTTTATGTGACGCATTGATTTTATGAGATAGCTTCCATGTTTACACATATTTATCTTATATGACTTAAATAAAGCAAAGTCTTGGCTTGGTCTTTAATGAAGTTTCCAGTTAATATATATACCAAGCTGACAGCCTGATTGTAAACTATATATATTGTATATTTGTCCAGCTTGTTAGTCCAGTTTATTTTTAGCCTTATCTTCAATACATGTTACCCAGCAGCCATTTCTGTTGTCCATTAGTCAAGGATCACATATGTCTCCAGTTATCTGGTGCTGTTTGGCTAGCAGGGCATTCATTTTTTATTGGATGAAACCATACTGTACCATTCAAAAGTTTAAGGTCGGTATGATGCTTTAAAATATTTTTGAAAAAGTCTATTATTCTCACCAAAGCTGCATTTATTTGATAACAAAAAACAGTCAAAATTGTAATATTGTGAAATATCTATCAATTTTATAATGTAATTTATTCCTGACATGGTAAAGCTCATTAGTGCAGTCTTCAGTGTCACACGATCCTTCAGAAATCATTCCAATATGCTGATTTGGGGCTCAAGAAACTATTATTATATAGTTTATTATTATCAAGAAAACACCGATGTTGAGAACAGTTCTGCTGCTTAATGTTTTTGAGGAAACTGTGATTTATTTGATTCTTTGAAAAATAAAATGTTAAAAAGAAAAGCATTTATTTTAAATATAAAACTTTTGTAACATTATCAATGGCTTTACTGTCACTTTTGATTAATTTAATTTCATCCTTTCTGAAAATAAGTATTAATTTCTGTCCAAAAAAATCATACCGACCCCAAACATTTGAACGGTAGTGTGCTGGGTATTACATATAAATTGTAGTTTGTTACTGATTCCAAATTACATGACAAAAATTGAAGTTCGTAATGTAATCCAATACATTACACATTTTTAGGTAATATGATCTGACTACTTTTTGATTATTTTTGACTTAACTGGTTTACCACATTGAATTGAATTAGTTAATTGAATACAAAGGGTCTGGGATCTGATTACTTCATCCAGATTATATGTAATCAGTTTCTACCCAGTACTATGTGTGTGTGTGTGTGTGTGTGTGTGTGTGTGTGTGTGTGTGTGTGTGTGTGTGTGTGTGTGTGTGTGTGTGTGTGTACAGTATATATTTATATACATTCCATGTGTTGTATCTGCCCATTAACAACCAAAAAACAGTTGCATTAATTGCTGTGTTGAACCTTTTGAATAAATGAGCTAATCTAAAGCTAAACCCAATGTTTTATGGGCTCATTTTAACAAATTGTTGCCTTCTTGGTTTAATGTTTTAATAAATTTTATAGGTTTCATGGAAAACCAACATACATACACAGGCTTCCAAGGGTATATTTTCCTCAGACCTCTGGGACCTTAAGTCACTGTGTATTAGCGTTGTTGGCTTTGAGTCTGAAAAAGCATTTCATGAATGAGCTATCAAGTTTTTTGTCATATCCTGAATAAAAGAGGCAATCCCTCTTCTGAACAAAGTTTAAAACATGCCTGAATGATAAAAAATGGAAACGTCTACTACAGACAGAACTATAAAGAAGACCCTGTGAAAATGAGATATTTGCACATATGTCTATTGCAAACATCAAGCGAGCTTCCAAATGAGAATTAATTTATGTGCGCCATCTGCTCATCATGGACGTTTCATTTAAATGCCAGATTAAAGAATTTTGTTTGTGATCATTTGAGGGCCACTGAACTGATAAAGCGAATATTGCCTATTTTTAACAGTAGCCTATAGTCCAAGGTGAGCCAAAGTCATTATTAACCTACAAATTGTGTTTACACAAAAATCATGTATAAATCAGAGCAAGCGACAGAGACAGAGACAGAGATTTAAAACTGTCCCCCAGTTTTAAAATCATCTTATCTAATCTAGACCAACAATGTTGCCCATAAAATAAGTAATCAAATCTTGGCAGGCTACTTGTTTACCAGGAGACAGAATTGATCAGATTAAATAAAGACATTGGACGTGGAGAAAAAAAAAAAAAAAAAAAAAACACACAAGGTAATTATGACATTAATAAAAAAAAATAATTTATAATTTCCAGTGAAGTTGTTCAAAAACGATCATTGACATTGTTAGTAGATAAATTAAACTAATTAGAGTGTAAAAAGTGTTTCAAGGGCCCAAAGTAGTTAATAATTTGACAGTGTTGTGTATTTTCGACGTTTATGTGTAGACAAAAATGGCAAAATAGTAATTGTTAGGAAATTGTGTATGTGGTCGGAATGATGGATATTAATCTTCACATTAGCCCAGCCTCCGCCGTGTTGATTGGATGGGTGACGTGCACGCTCACATAAAGCGTCAATCAGATGGTCGTTATGGAAACCGATAGGCGTGTAACCTGCTGTGCTGAGTGTCCGCGCAAGTCTCTGCGCGCGGCTGATCTGCAGACTCTGCGAGGGGATTTATAAACGCCACAACAGTGACAAGTTTAAGTCGTGTTCTTCACTTTACAGGTAGGTTTTTTTTACTTAACATTAATGAGTAATTTTAAAATCTAAGTTTGCCCATGTTGCTCTTCGCATGAGTTGGCGTATATTTGTCATCATCATAAATGTAAAAGTAATAACCGTTTATAACTACTAATTGCCACAAACAAAAATACGTTTTTATTCGGAGTAACGTTAGCGGTCGTCGAGTTGTGACATTATATCTTTATTTATTCATGTTGCCTCTAATTTAAAGAGATGAAGTTGTTTTTTTGCCATTAATAGTATTTTTATAGTTAACTTTTACTGTTAGAACCGGTTAGCAAAACGCCTAGCCTGAATTATTTAGGATGTTTTCATATAAAGAGACTTCGCATTTGTTGTCACGCCCAGTATGCGAGTTTGTTGTTTGTGCTGTAAACATTGCACAGTGTGTCGTCTCTGAATAAAAATATATAATTAAAGATAGACATTTGAAATGCGTGATATATAAAACGACAAATAAGTCACTGAATATAATTCAACCAACAAGTGACATACAGCCTTTAAGTTCAGTAATACAATGTTTTTGTGTTGGTTTGCAGCATTTCCACGTCATCTTTAAGCAGACAAATATGTAAGTGGAGAAAACACCCGCTCATGTAATTGATCCAATATTGCCAGTGAGAACAATTATTGACTGTAATAGCCTGCTGTTTGATTAACCATGTCCACACAAGAGACTGAATTACCAGACTGCCAAGAGAAGGGGGGCTTGAAGAGAAAACTCACAGGTCCACCCAGGCTTTTGCTGGGGAAGTCAAAATCAAAGGAGAGATTTGAAGGTAAATCACAGAGGCGGCAAAGACAAGCGAAATATTGTGATGGCACATTGGAGAATAATGATCAAGAGAACAGTGACGGAAAAGATTATGAATCCTCACTTATTACCCACCACAGCCCTCAAAAAGCCTCAGAGGAGAGGGAAACCAAACCAGATGCTCCAGGAGATACCTCAGGAATTCTTGTAACACTGGAGGAGGGTGAAAGCAAAGATGAAAATATGGAAAGTAAAATGGACATGACCAGAAGCACTTCAAAAACATCCATTAAGAGGACATTTTCCTCACTCCTCAGGTGTGGAAAGAGGAAGGAATCAGACAGAACAGAAAACAAAAACAATTCTGAACACAACATGTGCAACTCTGTGTGTGAGAATAAAATGAGTAGTGCAAACAATAAGGAAGTTCTTAATGGAAAAAGTAAAAAGAGAGTTTTCTTCACAGTGTGGCCCATTTCTAAGAGATCAGCCACATCCAATGTCAGGTGTAAAGAGCAAGGCAGTGGCATGGTTTTTCAGGAGATGACGGCACCAAAAGATTTGACATTTAAAAAGATCTATCGCATCTTTCCAAGAAGGAAGAAAGCACATCCTATTGATCAGTTTGAGTCTAGTCCTCACAATCCAACACAAAAAGAAGAAGCTGATCAACCGAATCCATTCTCTGCAGCTGTTATGGACACTCCCAAAGGGAGCCAAAAGGAAGAAGACGAAATAAAAGCAGAAAGCATTCCAGAGACATTTACATTCAGTGCAGATGTGAGCAGTAACGTCAATATGGAGTCTGAAATGGATAAAGAGCAGGAAATGTGTCCTGACCAAGTTGCGAGTTTGAATGAAGAAGAGGATCAGGTGTTACAAACAAGTGGTATTTTGGATTCTGCGGTTCCTCTGTCATGTTGCAGTGTTTCCGAGTTTCCGGCCACCACATCAGGTAGTGATCTGCTAGTCTTAAATAAGGAGACTATAGAGAATTATGCCAAATGCAGGCCAGTGATTACTATAGAGCATGCATATTTATCAGAAGAAGAGAACATGAATGAGGCACCACAGTTTGATGGTCTTACAATCAATGGGTCCTGGCAACATTTAAAAATAACCAACACACTACATCCTTCTGACCTAAATGTGCCTACTGAACATGACCATGGCCAATGTAATGAGACCTTACTGATTCAGACGGCAAGTTCAATGGTGCGAGCAGCCATCCATGGTGCTGTGGAACAGCTCACTGTCGAGATGCAGCACAATCAGATAGGTTTGGACCATGCGTAATAACCACACATTCACATTCTTTATTCAGCGAATGAATTTCATGATTTTTTCTGAGATTGTATACATAAGCTGCATAAAAGGAGAGGAATTTTATTAATGCATGTATAAACACATTGGAAATGTGATGTCAGATTGTGGAAAAGTTTGTATTCACTGTGTTATTTATAAACATTATATATTATAAAAACAATATAAATACTGTTCATTTTCTCACACAAACCGCTCGTTTCGTGTCTTAGGCCATCAATGTGTACTTACATTTACGAGTCATTAAATCATGTTTAATTTGGACTTCTCTGTGCATGCTCTTTGAGGTGGACCCCATAGACCTCCATTACATGACTGACAGACAAGAACGGTTTGACCTAAAAATATCAAAATTGAAAATACTGCGGAAAGAAAGACACCTACATCTTGGATGCCTTTGAGGTAAGCTATAAACATATCAAAAAATAATTTCAAAGTGAACTATCCCTTTAAGGCAACGTTTTAATGATAATAATTGGTCTAAGAACCCAGGTGTGTGTATTGGTTGCTCAATTCATATTTAAATGAAGCCCTGGCAGAAGCCTACGGTGAAGTTGTTAGATGTTATGCTAAGTGACTGTATACATGACAAACTTGGGAGTAATGCTTGAAGGATGACAGAGTGGTTACACTTTATTTCGATAGTCACTTTTTAGACATTCTACTAACTATAAGTAACTTTTCAACTACATGTCAACTAAGTCTACTACAGCCTATTAATACTCTAATGACACTGTCAGTAGACTGTTAGGTTAAAGTTAGGTGTTAGGAGAATAAGTTTACTTGTAGTTGATAAGTTACTTACAGTCAGTTGAATGTCTGTTGGGGGACCAACAAAATAAAGCAGATATTAAGCTGACAGTCTACTAATACTCTAATGATAGTTAGTTGACATGTAGCGGCAAAGTTACTTATAGTTAGTTGAATGTCTAAAGTGGACTATCAAAATAAAGTGTTACCGACAGAGTTGGCAGCAGGCAAGATGTTTGCTTTTGTGACTACATGCTACTCTCTTGTGGCATTAAGATGCTACTACAAGATAGTCAGTTTCAGGATAGTTCACCTGAACATTTTAATTATGTCATCATTTACTCACCCTCATGTTGTTGCACTCTTGTAACCTATGACTTTATTTCATCTGCGAACCAGAAAATATTTTGAAGAATATTTGAACTGTTTTGTCCATGCAGTGAAAGTCCAAATGGACAAATTGACCAGGAACTTTCCCTATGGGAACGAGGCTTTTGGGGTGGTAGCCTACTTGGTGTGTTTCGACTGCAGGAAACAGGGTCCCCTAAATTAACTTCTGGGTAAAAAATTCCCCCTCAGAAAGTACCTGCTCGATAGGCCTACTTTTTCAAATATCAGGAACTTTCGGGGTGCTGCAGCAGGAACTGGAAAGTCGCCTGTATAGTCCTACTACATGACCAGACTAATTTTCTAATCTTAACTGTACTGAAACGCATACAGCAACAGGTAAGTGCAGGGTAATTTCACTGGAAAGAAGCTTTTGTGTTAAAAGTAATAGAATAAAGTCATGCAGGAGTAAGTGATGATAGAATATTCATTTTAGGGGTAAAACATTAAAACCAATGACAAGTATACAAACAAAGCGCATGCATTATAAATCACAGTATTCAATGTGCCATTTATTTAAAAAAATAATAAATAACCAAACACATTATCACACAATGGCACTGATGAGTGCTGATGATGATGAAATAAAACTAAATGGGACTGTTTAAATGCACTACAAGTCACACAAATAACACAAACGCAAGTTTTGCTGATTTAAAATACTCATCACAGTACGCCAGCCTTAATTTGGGTATTCAATTAATATAACTGCAAAAATGATGATTTGACAGTTCAAATACAGCACAAAGAAACCATGTATACCATCAGTGATGTCTTAAAGTTGATCAATCATTCTAAATAAAACGTTTTGTCTTGTCTCAGTGTTTGAAACATGACTGGAAACTATGTGCCGTTGGTGTTTTTGTCCAGAATTGTTACGTTAGACATTTCCAGTGGCATTGTCCCATCTTAGTTACGCACTGCCCCAGTTTATGTACTAAAATTGTTAGCAAACTTGGATTATACTTGCTGGTTCATACACAATATAATCATGAAAATCCTTCAACATCAAAAAGCTTTTAGAAAAGCACCAGTTGCTCACATTCATTTGATAGATTATTCTGATTGTGTAGAAGTCTTGGACAACTTTGCACAAATAGGCACTGTTCACTGTTAACTTGAAAATGAAAAACAACTGGATTTGGTTCAACAGGCTGAGCAATAGTTTAAGTGCTTTTCTTTACAGAGATGTTTGGCAAAATATATTGTAAGGCACTGAACCCGTTTTGTAGGAAATTCGATTTAGGGAAGAAATCATTTAGTCTCTTTGCACAGTCAGTTTCACTCATTAGGCCACAACCCAAAAATAAACAAGAAATAATAACATATTTTATTAGCTTAAACTGGCCTCTAAAACCTAATAAGATTACGGTCGTTTGTCAAATGTGCCACTTTACAATGCTATTTGAGTTTCCTGCGCATGTGCTTGTTGATTTCATACTTTCTTTGAATATGTAATTGATCCAACAGTGTTCAGTCATCCAAGAGTCAGCAACGTCATTATATATCAACACTACTATCATCAACACTAAGTTTTAAACAAAATTATTTTTATGTTTTAACACTGACAGAGACTTTTGGGACGGGACAGGACAGAAGTGCTGAGTCAGAAAACAAAATTCAATCAAGGAATATTCTGTGTTCAATAAAGTTCAACTCAATCAACAGCATTTATGGCATTTTGCACAAGACATAATTTCGACTTGTCAATGCTTAAAAAAGCAAAAATCAACATTATGGTAAGGCACTTGGAATGAAACTTAAAAGTTGTTAGAAAGTTTTAAATAACTACATATTTATGTACTTAATATGCCCTGCAATTGTACTGTTGGTCTACTAAATTGATATACTTATGGTCTGCTAAATTTCAACCACTAATTTTACTTAATACACTTCAGTTCATCTGGAAACAGATATTCTATATTTGATTGTGCTAAAGTGGAACTATTGCAAGTATACTTTAAGTACACTTTAAATATCTTGCATTTAAAGACTGACATTATACAGAGATCATACTATTCTTACTAATAGTGTTATTAAAACACAATTTCGGCTTAGTATTAAGAGTGCATTGTGCAATAAAGAAGTACTCCAAATAAAATGTAATTATAATATTTATATCAGCAAGTATCAAGTGATCTGCCAGTAAATATGTTAATGGTTTGTACTACTGTAAGTGTGAAATAAATGTATTTTAAATACTTTTTTTTTCACTTGACTAGAGTGTATATACACTTTCTAAGGATACTAGAAAATGTTATCCTTCCAGTTTCTGCGCTATATCTTTCCAGAAGTTATGATCAATATTTTTATTTTTTTTTTAAATTTGGGTTGCAGGTATTTCTTAACCCCACACAAGTGCTCGTCAACGTGCGCCTGTAGTAGTATAACTTAGGAAACTTAGAAAAGGATAGTAAGGGGGTTTATTTTCAGACTAAGATTGTGGTAATACACAATTTTTTACGTCTTGTGGCTGTACTATTAAAACAGTGCTTATTTAAACATTTTAGGGATTTACCCCATTCACTTCCAAAGTGTCTCAGTCTAACCCAGATTTTTGCTCTTTAGTTTTTGAGTAAAGGAGAGACAGGTGGAAATGTATCTTTGTGGTCATCGAAATTATGCCACAAATGCTGTCAATTAAGCTTAACGTACTGAACCCAGAAGGCTCCTTTACCTTACATTGTGTGTTCACATGAATATGTCAAACACGAAGTCATTCCACAGTCACTGCGTCCACGCTCTCCTGAGAGACCTCAGAGTCCAGTGAGTAGCAGGAGCTGCCATTATCCTGAGTGTCTTTGGCTGCGTCCTCTCCCGTGGCTGCGGTAATATCAGGCTGGCCCTCGCAGCCATGGAGCAGCTGCCCGCAGAAGCGGCTGTAGCGATGGTATCGCAGTGGCTTGCCCACATGGGAGAACATGTGCTCCTGCAGCTGGCTCTTCTGCGAGAAACGAAGATTGCAGACGGCACAGGCCATCTTGCGCTTTCGCGTGAAGGCTGCCAACGGGCTGCCGCTCCGTCCGGTCCCGCCGCCTCGTCTGAGTTCTACAGCCAGCTCATCTGCCAGGGCCTGGCTCTGCCGTAGGGCCTCCTCCAGACTACCAGAGTCTATGCGCTCCTTATGAAGCCGCCTCTCCTCCAGGGACGTGTGCTCCCCGGTTTTGTCCTCTGAAGGGCCTTCCATCAGGCCGCTAGGCTCGAGGGCACAGGCTGTATGGGTAAAAAGGTGCTCTTGTAGGCCTTCGGGTGACATGCATCGTTCACCACACCGGGGGCACAAAAGCGCTAGAGGGCCATCTTTGAATAGACTGGCTCGACAGGGGCTCACCTGGGCTGGGGAGAGAGAGCAAAGCTCTTTGTCGGCTTCCTGTTGTTCTTCCTCCTCTACCCTTTCCTGTTTGATCCGTGCCGAAATGTCAGATTCATCCCCCGAGGCCACAGAGGATGCAGCATGGAAGCTTTGAGGCTGTCGCTCAGATGCGATGCCCTCCAGCCCTACAGTGAGAGCTAAACGGCCATGTGTGCGATCAGCCCTAGTGCTGGAGCAGCTGTCCTCAGGGTCCCGTGAACCACCAGCCTTCAGGCCCGAGTTCTCTTTACTGGCCAGCTGCGAAGAGATTTGGATGCCATACAGATTGGACATACGGATGGGGTCAGAGGACGCATCTGGGCCACTCTCGCCTGTCTTACGGCAGAGCTGGTATGCATGGAGGAACTTGATGCCTTCCTGAAGTCTGCCCTGGTCTACAGGTTGTTTGGGACCCATGCCAGTGTACATGATGTGTAATAGGTAGCTGAAGACATCTGGTTGAATATCTGTGGGCTGGATCTTGATGCACTCACTGAAAAAAGCAAGACAGTCAATTAAAAACACAATAAGCACTGTATTAATTCTCAACTAATTGTGCATAATTGTCATTTGCTTATATTTAATATTATTATCAAAATGAAACAACTTTTATTGTTTATAAATCAAGTTATTTTGACATCCTTCACATTCTTTTTTTTTAATTATCAGACTATTAAGCATGATGGGTGACCCTTCAATTCAGTACTGATGTGTTACAGTTCAAGATAAAGTCAACAGGTGGTAGTTTCAAAAAGTGGTAGTTTTAGAGCTTTAGTTAACCTGGACTGGTGGATAAAGATCATTTTGAAGTAGTTTGAGAAGGCAGCAAGAACTGCACGATGAGCCTTGAAGTATACATTGCCAATGGCAACAGTGCAGTCACACAGAAAGCCAAACTCCCTTTGGACGTTCAGCTGCTGCAGGAGGAACAGACTATGACCAGACACGTCCATCTCAACCTAGAACATACATATGTAGAAGACAGATTTCAACCAAATAAATCCCTATGCATAATTGAATATTGGTCAAAACATTTTTAAAAAATGTAGTCATTATTATTTAATGTCAAATACAGCAACTTTAAGGGAACTTTTATAAATTAACAAATATCATAAAATATTTAAAATAGATTTTTTTTTTTTTAAATGCATGAAAAATGTTTTCAAAATGCATGACTCCACCAGAAATACAAAGATTATGTGAAAGGACTTACTTACTAAAGGACTTACTAAATAATACTTTAAACTATATTTCTCTGTTTTTTATTCTCTCGGACTATACATTTTTTTCCTTGTCCCGCAGATGAATAGACCAGTGCCAGTGAAGAGTCTCTGAGCCTGAGTTTACTGAGTAACTGGCGACCTCTATCGATCAAAATGCCAATATTATTTTTTACAAATTTTCAGACATACCAGATGTTTACATCTGGGGAGGATTGGCTTTTTTGTTTTTTTTTACATTGAAACGCATGTGTAAATTACATTCTTACATTATTTATAGGTATGGTACTATTTGGGGATTTTATAGGAATAATTTTCTTCTGAAGCGGCACGTTCCATAGGCTATAACTTAATCGAAGAATGACATATTGAATCATTGTATCAATATAGCCCACGTAATAAGCAGCAACGACTGGATTGTACTTAATGGTTACAGACTCGTGCAACATTTTAAAATCTTTGCATGCAGACCTGACCAGAGAATACCTGACAGTGATTCTTATATTTCATTGCACAAAAGGACATTAACAAACACACAGCAAAAATATCGCACAGAAAAAATGTCAACGAAAGGTTATTACACAAAATATCGTGTAGGAGTCATTTAGTTCATGCTTCTGTAACATGCATGGTCTTATTCCCAGCAGATTTGCCCGCGACACAATCATGTTAATTTTTACACGTCTAGTCTACACCGATCAAGTGTGGTCGAAGAAAAGGTGTCCGTTTTCATGCACCTTGGCCAACAAAGCATGCATTACCTAAAGCACAGACAAATGCATTCACGCTGTCAAAAAAATGCAATCTTACCAACTATATGAGAGAAACCGATAATAATTTCGTGTTTGTTGCAGCAGGGAAATTCTCTTATGGTCTCGCGGTTCTTCATGCGATTGACGGCTTAGCTTGTTATCCGTCACGTGACCGTACTGTACATTAGCTGAGTCTGATCCAGACGCACGCATAGTGAAAACATAAAGCAGGCGCTTGTGTTTAAATGCTCGTTTGTTACATTTTTGTTCTGAAAGATCACTCAGGCCCAGTATAAATGCTAGTCTAGTGTGGTAAGCTCGCTAAACAAAAACGCGTGAAGAACAAACATTTGAAACCTTGCATGGACGAGAGAGCAAATCCAGGTTTGCAAAAGAGTCCGACAGACCACCCTAGGCGCTCATAAAATTGTTTTAGTTTAACACACATATAGGGACACTTCTAACAACTTAAATAGCCTACTTGAAAATGATAGCCTACTACATTAAACTCATCTGCGTAAAAACGCCTTTAACACATCTCTTAGATTATAGACTTAGCAACACAATAGCAGTCAATTGATTGAATGTATAAAAATAGTTTTATTAATCTATATATATTTTTTTAATTTTTGATAATTGTAATTATATCAAATGTAAAAATCCAAACAACATGTTTATTAATGACCAGCTATGTAAAATGAATGTAGGCCTATAGGCCTACAAAAATATTTCACATTACAACTTAGGCTATTTAGGAGAAATTCAGTTCCCCAAAATGCGTGGCATGTTGGTAGCGATTTTTATTATTTATATAAAAATTACATTATATTAAAATAGGCTACTAACAAATGAATAGGCTAGTTCTTTTTGAGAAAAAAAAAAGCAAAATGTAAGATATATTACATAAATATTTCTATTTCGTTTTCAACACAAGTGTGACCACATTCGTCCTGAAGAGCATATTTTCATACATGGTTTGGTTGCATTTTCACTGTGCTGCGCGTGCTGGGGCGGGCTGGATTTGCGTGAGCGGGGCCGGATCTCAGTGCGGTGATAGAGCTCGCAGAGCGGCTGTGCGGAAGTTCTTTCATCCGCGCTGCACAGAAGGGGCTTCGCCCTCGAGATTAGCTATTCTCGTCCCAAGTTTTCGCTTGGACGAAGGCAAAAGAGGTGGAACTTCTTCGCTCTGTGTTTTAACTCGAATTCTGTCGTTCGCTACAAGTTAGCGCCCATTACCGTCGGTGAGTATTTTCCGTGTGTTTTGCGTGTAAACACGAGCTGCAGTAATGTGAAGCTCATAGCGTATGTGCGGGAAGCTGCGCGGGGGTGGCACTGCATGCTTGCGTGAGAGATCTCCCTACGACAACGGTCAGATATATTCTGTTCTGCTGTCTCTTGAGTAACAGGTCCTTTTCAGACTCGATGTTGACACTATAGGCAATCGTATGGTCAGATCTTTTGTGTGTTGACCAAGTAGTTTGATTTTACTTTTAAGTGCGGTGTATGATTGACAGCCATATCGCCCGCATGAGTCTGTCTCTGAAATGGGCCAATGAGAACGCGGGGGCGGGATGTAAACCTCTCTGGTGGCTTTATCATGGAGCTGAACAACGGAAACGAGCTAAATTTCAAGCTAACTAATTATATTGTAGATTCCATTAATTATTATAGCCAAACCAATTGAGTTTATTGACCAAGTTAGCTTTTTTAGGGATTTTTTTTTCCCAGGTGAGTTGCCCATTTGGTTATAATATAGTGCAAATATTTGTTTAATGTGGACAAATGGCAAAGGTTTTACATCTAGGTGGTAGTGACTAATGTCGACTATGTGTTCAATACTGACTATGTATCTACTTGATTATTGATTTTGACTGTTTTATCTATGTTTTTCTTATATATACACTACTGTTCAAAAGTTAGGGTTCAGTACCAAATCAGCTGACTAGCATAATTTCTAAAGGATCATGTGACACTAAAGAGTATCATCACAGTAATAAATTACATTTTAAAATGTATTGAAATCAAGTTATCTTAAATTGCAATAATTATTCACAATTTAATTTTTTTTTCAAATAAAATTAGCAAGAGACTTCTTTACAAATCATTAAAAAAGCTTTTTAAGTGGCATTGAATATTTGCATTATAAAACCCTCTCATAGAAGTTGTTTTCTCTTTTTCATCCTGTTTTTATGCAGGCATACACATTTGCTTGTCTGTTTTTGGGTGTCTTGTGATGATGAGTGTTATAATTTTTTGACAGCATGACATTTCAAGTTAAAAATAGGCCAAATGGCACCTGTGAAAAAGTTCGATCCCTCAAACTTGCAGTGGTGGAGGAAGTACTGAATCTCAGTACTTAAGTAAAAATACAAATTCCCAGATAAATATTTACTTTAGTAAAAGTAGAAGTAACACAATGACAACCATACTTAAGTAAAAAGTAAAAAGTACCTGATTTTAAATGTACTTTAAGTATTAAAAGTAAAAGTACTTGCATAACAATTTATTATCTTAATGTCTATTTTCTAATGATTAATAAAACATTTAATTCTAACTCATTCAACCTAATAGCCTACTCCTATAATGATGTTCAATAATTATGGAAAAAAATGTCACCATTTCTGAAACAAGCTTGCAATTAGGCAATATCATGTTTATCCTTACTATATGTTAGTAAACGCGATTCATTTATGGTGTAATTCTGAACCTCTTGGCTTGCCATAATCCTAACCAAACCAAACATATATTACACACGGTGTGTTTCCTATGCACATAAAAACAAATTTTCGCGTATGAGTTGCATGATAAACACACTGCGTGTGAGACGCATTTAGTGTGACCGGGTTGATATACTGTATCTACGGCAACCAAACGTCACTGGTGAGACAAACGTGCAACGAACATTACGTTTTGGCAGGGGAAAACTGATCAGAAAATGTAACGAAAATGTAACAGAAGTTGTAGAAATGTAGTGGAGTAGAAAGTATAATAATTGCTGCAAAATGTAACGAAGTAAAAGTAAAAAGTAGGCGCTATTTATTGTACTTAAGTAAAGTAAAGATACATGAAAAATGTACTTAAGTAAAGTAACGAAGTATTTGTACTTCGTTACATTCCACCACTGCAAACTTGGGTCTTATTAATTGCTATGTGTTTCTTTATGATTGTTCACAGGGTAATGGCAAGGCCAAGCCACAGTGAGCATGTCCTGCAGCAGCTCAACAACCAAAGGGAATGGGGTTTCCTCTGTGACTGCTGCATTGCCATAGGGGACATTTATTTCAGGGCCCACAAGGCCGTGCTGGCAGCCTGCAGCTCTTACTTCAGAATGATGTTCATCCGGGATCAGCAGGGGACGGCGCGGTTTGATCTCAGCAACATGCAGATCAGCGCAGAGTGCTTCGATCTCATCCTGCAGCTCATGTACCTTGGCCGAATCGTTGTGGATCACTATGAGTTTGAGGAGCTGAAATCATCTATGACATACCTACAAATGTACTACATCCCAGACTCTCTTGAGGACCTCCGAGACATCAGAACGTCCAATTTGACACCTTCGTCATCTGCGTCGTCCTCTTCATCGTCCAGTTCCTCGTCCTCATCCAGCGTGGTTGGAGGCAAAATGATGTTTGGCGTTCGAATGTTTGAGCAGCAACGGCCAAGCCCTTCTGAGAATGAACGCACAGCAAAAGCCTCAACCACAACTGCTCGTCAAACCATTAACATCTCAACTGTCAGGCCTTCTGAAGATGTGGTCATTCCACACCCTCAGCCACACTCAGAGACTGTTGTAGATCAGCCGTGTGACTTGAGGAAGAGAACTTCAGGCCGAAGCTCTGCCATGAAAGAACGTCCTCGGTTTGGACGCACGTACACGTGCGACGATTGCGGCTTTGTGTTCAGCTGTGAAAAGCTGCTCATCGAACACATCCTCACATGCACCAATCGCAAAGCTTTCCAGACGCCCAAAGTCGGCAAAGAGGGCAACGGCGATGCTGGTAAAGCCGAGAGTTCGAACTCAGAGGGTGCAGATGAACACAGAGCCGTTTGCAAGGGCGAAGAGGACTGGTCAGACCACAAGTTGGATGGAGAGACCGTGATCAGGTCTGTCGCCACTGGCATGGACAGCGAAGCTGCCTTCTCCAGGAATATAACCATTAAAGTGGAACGAGACAATGACTCCGAGAGCGATTTGGAAACTATAAAAGTCGTGAAGGTAGGGAACCACAACGTAGGGAGCTGCAAATTCCGTACTAGGGCATACAAAGACAATCTTGCCGACCAGATTAAGTTTGACAGCGAGGAAGAGGCTGGAGTATCCGCCATGGATGCTTTGGAGGGCCAAAGCACAGGGCTAGAGACGGATCCAAAGGTCCACCGGATCAAAGAGGAAAAGCAAGATGGTGCGTGCATTCCATGCGAGTTGTGCGGAACCCTGTTGACGGAGGAGAATCAGTCTGCTCATTACATCTCCAGCCACATGGGGCATATCTGCGCCTGCGGAAGGTGCGGCCAAGTGCTCATTAAAGGCAGGCAGCTGCAGGAACACGCAGAGCGCTGCGGTGAACCCCAAGGAGCCGAGACGGACTCCCCAGGTGAGGATTCGCTTCTGCTTGAAGATGCCGAGGCTATGGATGAAAGCTTGCTGGAAGGAGCCGACCTGGGCTTTCGCTGTCCGCTCTGTGGGTTGATATTTGAAAGTGAAAGTCTTGCAGTGGAGCATACGTTGTCTTGTCCGGAACAGGAGGCCTTCCGGCCCGTTCTCTTGGAGGACAGCGGCGAGCCAGACCATCGGCGCAAGCATTTCTGTGCAATTTGTGGCAAAGGCTTTTACCAAAGGTGTCACCTCCGAGAGCACTACACCGTGCACACCAAGGAAAAGCAGTTCACCTGTCAGACCTGCGGGAAACAGTTTCTGCGCGAACGACAGCTTCGGTTGCACACTGACATGCACAAGGGAATGGCACGGTACGTCTGCCCTGTGTGCGATCAAGGTACGTTCCTTAAACATGATCATGTGCGACACATGATCTCTCACCTATCTGCCGGAGAGACTATCTGCCAGGTGTGTTTCCAGATTTTCCCCAGCGCCGAGCATCTGGAAAAGCACATGGATGTGCATCTGTACATCTGTGGCGTTTGCGGAGAGAAGTTCCGCCTCCGGAAAGACATGCGGAGCCACTACAACTCCAAGCACACCAAGAGACAATGAGGGGCCTCTCTCTCTCTGCAACCTTCGAATCTTTGAAATAAGCCATACTGTAAATGTGAGAACAAATCTATGCACTTAGACACCAATTGTAACCTTTACAACTGC